AGATTCCCCGTATAGAAGCACCGCCATCCAGCGGACATTTTAAGGACTAAACGAGAGGTGGCACACGCACACTATCTTACGGCTTGCGCTTCGGGTCTACTTCCCACCTTTAACTCCTCGAGTTCATGCCATATACTAGTTCACTGTATTCATGGCACTGTGGCCCAACGCTCGCTAAATCTTTCTAAAACTAAGGAGGTTACGCCCAGCTAGTAAAACGTAGCAACCTTTTCCTGTCAGATAGTGCTCAATGTACATGCCAATGCCTGCTAATGGGAAATGAGAGACAAGAGAATTCGGCTTTTACTTTCTACGGCTTGCGCTTTGTATCTACTTCCCACCTTTAACCACCTCGAGTTCATGGTATATACTAGTTCATTGCATTCAAGGCACTGCGACTCAACGCTCGCTAAACCTTTCTAAAACTAAGGAGGTTACACCCAGAGAGTATAACGTAGCAACCGTTTCTGGTCAGATAGTGCTCAATGTACATGCCGATGACTGATAATGGAGAATGAGAGACAGGAGCAATCGGCTTTCAGTTAACGCGCACGCCGCGAACGTTTTATTATTCAACAAAGCACAGGAGAAATTTCCCACCGGCACCAATTTGCAGGTCAAAATGTTACACTTGTACACACTACGACTACGAGGGACGAAAGGGTGCCGCTTTAAGAAGCTTCGCCCCTAAAAAAAATGGGGGCCCCGACAGAGCACAGAACAGGCCTCACCTTGCAGTGATGCGTCGCCAGGTGACCATGTCACTTGGAACTGCGTCCGTCTCGTTGCCAGCCCTGGTTGTAACGAACTCTTTCGGTGCTCCATGTGCTCGACCGGACGATCTCTGTCGTTGCCTGAAGTCAGCCTCGCCGATTGTCCCTCCTGGTCTGCTTTCGTTCGCTGACGCGTAGCGCTCTTCCCTGCCCAACTCCTAATTCAAAAATTGATCAGCAGGCTCATGAAGGGTGGAAATGCTGCTTTTCACAGACAACCAAAAGGTTCCAAAGCAGCGAGCGTCTTGATGCTGCTATATCGCAGTGTACCGGCAGGTCTGAAAAGCAGTGTGCGTCTTGTCAGTTTCCCTGACTTCAGCATCTTCCTCGCCGCGGGCTCTCCACTCCTCGTTGACGGCGCCAGTTAATTTCCTACTATTCGGTGAGCTTCTACGCTAACTAAGAAGCGAGGGCATTGAGGTTCGGAATGAGTCCCCTCGATGACTCGAGTGCTTGGTGGCAGTGCAAAGAAAGAGCTGCAGTCCGGTGAAGAGACGCTTTATTGCAGCCTCAGGCGTCTGCCCGAGTCCAAGCCAGGACCTCCACGCTTGACGTGATTTTTGCAAAACGCACTTCTGGGTAAGCTTTCCTCCTTTTCGTCCTAAACTGGGGCGACTTTGACGGCGCTGCCCGTGAACCCTGTGAACGAAGGAGTATCCTTTCTTTTCCGTGCACGGGCTTTCTGCGTTCGCCTTCGCGGAACCGATCGGCGTCGTATGTTGACGGGTCGAGAACTCCCTCCGTGCTCTGCAGCAGCTGCATTGGTTGCGCCACACGCAACAAGCCGCTAACGAGTGCCTCATACTAACTGAGCTTCTTATGCATTTTTTTAGAATGACTCTAAGGCGAAATTCATCTGCTTTTTTTCACTCAATGGGTTTGTCCTATGCCGCCTCCTGAGAAAACTCGGGAGCCTCATGTGGTTTTCTGCTGCCTCTGAGATCAGATTCAGGCTTCCTGTGCATCACCTGGTTTTGTTCTGGCTCCCTGATGAGCCCACTCATCATGAAGGCCGTTATTGCCATCATAGGACATCACAGACATCAGCTATTTCGACGTCATGATAACATTATATGGTGACGTCATAACAAGAGGATCTCCGCACGACGTAGGTTGACGCCACTGACGCGGTACGCCGGTGGTGAAATTCAACGCTTATTTGACGTCGGACGTTTTCGCCTTTAAAATTCATATATCCTAGGCATAGACGGCGGACTATTGGGCCGCTAACTAATAGGCCGCTAACAAAGTAAGCAGCCTAGTAACAAGACACTTCACGTGGCGCACCCTAGCAGAAGAGAATCGAAGCTGGACTATGAAACATGGAGTCGATTCCTTTCCTGCACGTAGTAGCATAGCCTGAGGTTGGCATGCGTGCCAGACCTCAAAATTACAGTATATGTATTGTTATGCAGCTGCGCTTAATTCCACGCTGCTTACGACATAAGAGGAATTGCACGGGAAGAAGCGGCACTGCCGTTGCGATCACCAGTGCACCAGGTCGCACCTCTGCGCATGTACGTGGAGTGTACACAGACGCAATAAACCACCAGGCTCAAACGCAAACCACTCCCATGCGCACTGCTTGCAGCAAGTGAGCATACGACTTCATATTCGCTGTAGATAGAAAAATTCAGAAGTAAAGTTTTTGCGGCGTTTTGCACTTATAGCCATTTCGTGATTAGATTCACTGACCAGTAAGCTTTGTGTTTCGCTAAAAAGATTACCTGTAAGATCTTGGTAGTCTGGTTTCTTTAAACGAATTTCCAGATAGCGAATATTTCACTTGAATGAACTTGATCTGCGGACCCGGGTGAATTCGTTAGATATATTCAATGAACTATTGCGCTCTGCAGTATCCGCATAGCTCGTGCGTGCCGCCCCCAATCCGACCATTTATTGGTGGTAGTGATAAATCGCTTGCACATGCAGCGCCACCGATAAAAAGCGGCCATGTAGATGACAAACTGACCCACGTGCGCTTTAATACCTGCGCAGAAGCATGAGACATAGAAAGTGTTTCCAGTGTTCATCCGGAGCCGAAGTCAGTAAAGTGTGATGATGAAGTTGAGGCAGTTTCAAGTGCTGCATGTATAACCGATACTGTAGGATATATTAGATAGTTGTAAGACTTCGTGTAACTGCAACAAGCTGAACCAGAGGCAGTACATAGAAACGTAGAGCCTTTCAACAGCTTTGCGTTTCCTTGTGATTAAGGGTGCGAGTCCGAATAAATGTACAGTATCGTATTCAAAACAAATTATGGAAATGAGTTTATATTCGAGAGTCCAATTATCTTGTTAGAAATAGTCCTAATCAGAGCTAACAGACAAGGACCCCGAGAGGCAGTGATGCATCATTGTGTGTTTGTTTTGATCAGAATGAAAATCTATTTCGTAGTTTTCGTTCCATGTCTGCTCTGCCAAATTAAGTTCCGTGTTTCAGTGAATATTGAACTTAGTGATCGTTCAGGTAAGTGAACAACTTTCTCGAGCCGCTTGAAGTTCACTCAAATGAGAGTTTACCTAAATAAGAACACTCACATTCACTTTGCATTCACAATCATATATGAATTCACTCAAGACAACTCGAAGGCAAAAGTAATCTTTTTTTCTCAATATGGAAGTAATGATGCCGGAATCCTTCGACAGCCTTCTGTACCGAAGTGGTTTCGCACTGTCTTCTGTATGAGAGGCACTTGACCTGGTTTTGCATTCCCTCTATGACTGAACCACCGAAGACGAAGCTGCGACGTGATGTGAGGTCGTCATAGTGCCAGGTCCTGTCACGTCACGTCATAGCGCAGTCATGCGCATCTTGTATTGATGAAAAAAATGTTGGCAACTTGTGACGTCATCAAAGCGTCATACGGTGAAGCAATATCGTGATAATTTTTTGCAGCACGCGTCCCTGACACCGCGGTACGCAAGACGCCACCGGCGCGAGACACCGACAGTCAAAAGCATCTCGGGATTCCACTGTACTATTTATTCAAGCCAACACTGGCTGAAGTAGCGCAACCTTATTTTAAAGATGAGATGTATTTATTTACAGGATGAAAAGATTAGAGATGCGTTGTACAGCGCAAACGACAGAATGGTCAGCCCCACAACTGCTCACTCTTCACACCCCTTCCCCTTCTGGTTTTCGTGGCTTCAGCGCATTTCTGCCACGTGACAATTTTGCCGGGTGCAGACGAAGCTCTCTGAGCGAGCCACGTAGACCGGTGGTGGCAGTGCTTGAGCCGGGCATCGTACAATGGTTGGGTTGGACGTGACAGCTGGTTGTCAGAGGTCACTTTAGCAATGACAAACGTTACGTCATCTAAACGCTGCAATAAGACTTATGGTCTGGTATACTTGGGCAAAACCTTTGTGTATAGGCCTTTTTACCGCACAGATGTCCAAAGCAAAACAAAATCTCCCAGGGCAAATATTACAGGAATGTGTCGGGTGCCATAACAAGTTTTGGAAAGGTGTTGTGATGAAATAGTCTTCAGGTGAGCCAATCGACGAGCTTCCTCTCTTACTAGAATGTGCGGGGCTCCCAATATTGTCAACAGCCCGCCTGTCTTGGGCGAGCGATCTCTAGCACGACTTCTAGACCCAATCACGTCCATCCACGTAGCTCAAGGCAACGCCTTACGGTGAAAATACGGGCAACGGCTTACTGTGTCGAGGGTATGGCAGAACTCGGTCGTCCAGGGTGACGTACCCAGCACCTCCACCAAAAACTGTAACGCTGCGATGTGTTTATGTACACGATGAGGTTTGACATGCGTTGTGCAGCGCAAAGGACAGGACAGTCAGGCCCACAACTGCTTGCTCCTCACGCCCCCTTCTTTCTCTTCGTCTTCGTGGCTACAGTGAATTCCTGTTACATGACAACATTATTGAAGTCGACTAACTAGGTTAGCCATCTTAAATCGTAAAATCTAGCATATGGTGTGGATTATGACAGGTCCTATTTTCCAGATACTTGACTGAAGCCAGAGCGATTGTAGTAGAAGAAAAGTATTGTTATATTAGTCTTGTTTGCTATGCGTATCGGTGTCATGTACAGAAAAACAGCACACCATGCGAGCTTTATGAGAGGAAAAACAAGAAACAGTTCAATTAGCTTGAAAATATTTGTATGCATAGGTACATCAAGTTTAATAGTGAGTTTTCATAGCAAGTGTGTTAAGTTCGGTCACCCAATAACTAAAAAAGACACTTAATACAAGAAACTTGTTCATTGTAAACTTTATTTCGCCAAACACTGGTGGATGTAATTAATAATACATTGGTGCACAAATCGCAATACAGCGGTAATAGCATGCCTTCAAACAGTCATTTAAATGGTTGATGAACAATATTGATATATAATTGCTTATGGGCCAGCCTTTTCATTGCAATTTCGTCTGAGAAAGGTGATCTTGGGTCAAGCCGCTGCTGCCACTGCTGCTATCGAAAGATGACAGACTGTCTCCACTTGATCTTTGTAGACCTGAAGTCATACCTCCGTTTGTACCAGATGAAACTCCTGAATAACCATTGCCACCGCTTCTTGAGCTGTAGTAGTATCTCGTTGTACTGCTGGCACTGCCAGGACTCGCCGTAAAGCTGTTGCCTGAAGCAATGCCGCTACTGGATGTGGTTCCACTAAGAGACGAGGTACTGGGTATGTATGCGCCAGTTGCCTGGTTTGTGCCTACTGAGCTAATAATTCGGCTAAAACCGGTGCTTGCAGCAGGGCCATGAACGATATAGTGCGAAGTGGATCCTCCAACTACTGGTATGCCACTTAGGCTGGAAGATCCCAGAAGTCCCATGGCTGGATTACCAGAAACGTACGAAGCGTAACCAGACACACCCGGTATGATGGTAGACACGCCTGGATGATTGCGCCACACTTTCAGTTGCCAACGAGTTCCAGGAGCCTCATGACCTTCAACTATGTAGTGTGGGTGGGCGCCTATTGGAGAACTTCCCAGGATGTATGGATGTGAAGTAGTTGTGCCCGACACATATCCCGTAGTTATTGGAACACCAGCTGTGTAGGCAGCTGTTGTTATTGGTAACCCTGTTTGCCCGAGAGTACTTCCCAGTATTCCATTTGTTGATGAGACAAACTGACCATTAACAAACGCAACAGGAGTGCTACTTACTGATGTTCCAGTGGAGAACAGGGGGTGAGGAGCTGAAGTTCCATAGAGTGGAACTGTGCCACTGGGCATTCCTGGTACATTTCGTAGTCCTAGTAGGGCTAGTGGGGACGATGGTTGAACCGTCTGCTCCATGACGTGTAAACCCGAGGTAACGGGAGTAATCGACGATGCTATCGTTGGTTGCACCCTGGATGGGTACGTATTTGAAATAACCTGTGTTTTGGGGGTAGGTTGACGCGTAAACGCTGAAGTGTACAGATTTGAAGGACCTACCGTTTTTGTGATTACTTCTTTCATTCCTACTGTCGTCTTTTCTGGTCCGATTGCTTTAAACAAGGTGTCAGCTATGCGAGGTTGCGTATTATACGTTTCCGGACTGCTGGCATAATCTGGAGTAAGAAGATTGTGACGTGAGTTTACACGGCTTAATGGATCCTGTGTGTCTAGCAATAGCTTGTTGAGGGTGTCGTAAGGACCGCCTTCTGTAGGCTGGTGAAGACCTTGAAGGAAGGCTAGCGTTTTTGTGGTGGGGTCTAAAGTTGTTTTAGTTTTCGAAGTAAGCCCCATTGTTTCTGGACTTATTCCGGCTAATCGGGCTAAATACTGACCTGCGATATCATTTGGATTGGTGATTGCGCTGCGAAGCAGGGAAATCATTTTAGTGGACCCACCTGTTTCACTATCTTTTCCATACACGTTGTCGAATAATGAACTAAATATCCCTCCTGGCCGCTGCTGAATTATAAACTGCTTTACAATAGCGTTAACCACTGGAGACCGGGGATTTGCACGCAACAAATTCAGTAAAATGTATGGATATGCGGCACCAGATCTTATCAACTGATCAAAACTAGTTTTCGATGTAGCTGTATTCTTGAATAGATTGTATAAGGGGTTGCTTGTGCTTCCTAAAAGCGAAGAAAGTGGTCCGGTTTCATACAGGGCACCCCTATTGTTGTACAAAAGTTCTCTGTTAGGACTTAGTGTGTATTCACGAGGATGTGTAAACGCCCTCATCAGCCTCTCGGTAAAAGTTGTAGAGCTTCCTGGCACAGAGAAGTCATTATAGCCTCTATTAGTAGCAGTTGAGAACGGGTCCATTAGTGACGAAAGTGTTCCGTCAGGTGCCATTACGTAACGCATGCCAGTATTTCCACTGTTTACTCCAGTAATAGTGCTCAGTATGCTTTTGGTCACTGAACTTCCATCGTAACCTGGAAAACCAGGGTACGACGATCCCGATGGAACACCATATGTACCTAAGAAAGAATAAGGCCCCAATCCTGGGGCGTATGGTGCGAAAGGTGCTAGGGGACTACTGCCATAGTATGGCCATGTATTTCCCGAAAATGGTGCATGGGGGAAAGTCGACCACGGGCGGCCGGAGGTACTACCATATGCGCCAACGTTTGAGCTGCTGTATGGGGAACGAAACCGTCCAGTGTAAGGGCTTCCGAAAGAGAATCCGTAGGGGTCACTACCAAAGAGTGAGACCAAACTGCTCCAAATTCCTGGCTGAACTGAGGACGATTGTGAGCCACTCTGGAGCAGAAGACGCTCTATGGGAGACGCCCCTGATGAACCTGACGTTTCACTTGCTATAAGGGAAGTCAGCAATTTTGTTTGGTTCGTTTTATGAGCAAGTTTACTGCTCAACAAAAGATTTTTCAAAGCTGTGACTCTCGCAATTTTTCTAATGATATCAATCAATGTTGTGGAACTTCTGCGCCCATAAATACCGCTACCAGCAGGTTGAACGGGGATGTTGTTAAGGAGTCTCTGCACGGGATCTGGAAGTACTGGGAGACTCGGGACCTGGTAACCAAGTTTAAAGTACAATACTTCAGGATCAATTGCTTGGATGTATGGAGGAAACATACCGGTCCGGCGGGCGAGCACCCACTTCCATCTTCGGTCAAGTCCCGTTGTTAATCCAGGCACTTCTACTTCCACGCCACTTCCTGTGACACCAACTGACGGAACGGCGTGAGCTGGAGAAACAGTACCAGGGCGTAAATTGTTCATTCCCGTTATAATGGCCGAATGAATACTTGAAGTTCTGGAATTGATCCCAGATGAGGCTGGTACATTGTTCACGCCGACTATAGCCTGGCGAATGGTGGAAGGTACAGAGATTGGCGGAACCTGCCTTCCACTCGGCATAGTAGATCCAACAAATGTGTTCGGGTTGAGCCCTGTACTTGTCAATATGCTCGAATCACCAGGTGCTCCCGGAGTAGTAGTTCTTGGACCAAGTGGTTGCAATGTAACTGTACTGCCACCAGTTGGCTGAGTGGTTGAACTACCGGTGTTGGTTATTGATAGGACGTTATTCGTTGTCGTTGTTGTCGTAACACTTCCGGTGCCGCTTTGAGCAGGGTTCAACGCTCCTCCTCCCCCACCTGGAACATTAGGCACTTCATTTTCGTTTCCAGGTGATAAAGGTGTGCCATTGTTGACGTTCGATGGTGGTACAGGAGAGAGCGCGAAAGGGTCGATGTCATCGGGAAGATTTTTAGGACTAGGTGGAACAGTCCCCTTCAAGAATGGATTTGAAGCTGTAATGGATTTGACGCCGATCCCCTTGACGCCCTTTACCCCACCAGCAGCAGAAGGCGCACCCGTTTTTATGCCATCTTGACTCTTGGTGAGTAGGGGACCAGTAGTTGGAGCTCCGAATGTGTTCACTAGAAAGAGAATAGGCCAATTTTAAGTAGGCTGCATATAACCAAGACCTCTTTTGTAAATCTGAGAACTCCTCACTTAGAAGCAAAGGTAAAGGTTACAGTTTTGCCGCTGTATCATTCTAAAAAGTGAGGATTATCCGGGTAAATTCCTGACGCGTTTCTAACTAATGCACTTTTCAACTAATGAACAAAACCGATTTTTGGTAACCCAGGAATCGTTATACATGTTGAGAGGATGAATTTGCACTAAGCGCGAACCACTTTGCTTCAATACTTATAGTCAAATGAAACAATTTAGAGTGGGCAAACAGCTGGTAAATGTACGAAGACTAGCCATATGTTGTTTGTAGATGGTTTGGGCAGCTCGACGTATTTGATTAGCATAGTTTGGGTCTAGGTCAACTACTGATTTGATTCACTAAGCGACGTAAAGAGCAGAACACATTATACAATCTGAATGAATTTGTTCCAATATGACGACAGATGCGTGCCTATGAATGTAACGGCATCTTGCACTTGACAATATAGCATAAACCAAGTGAAGTATTACAGCCTATTAGATCACTTATACGTTATTACGAGGCAGTCATCATCGTGTTACGTTTATTGCGAGACAAATTACATGGAGACTTTTGGCGGGCATTCGTCGTTGCCAGCAGCGTCTTTGTTGTCTCCACCGCCATGATCTGCTGGAATTCTAAATCAGTAGCATTGTCCATCACATCTTATGTTTTGCGTAAAAGTAAAGTCAAGAATATGTCGACGGGCGCGGCTGCAGCAAAGATTAAAGGAGCTTGCCGTCTCTCTTTCGCATGAAGGGTGCATCATATCATAAACCCGCGCGTGAGTCCTCCCATCGACTGCTCTTCAAGCAGAGAGGAAACGCCGTTCATCGGGCAAAGGATTGTGAAGGGGTGCCATCGGGTGGAGGGGTGTCACATTGCTCGAGCAGAATTCGTAAATATAATTAATAAGGGTGCAGACGTGAACGCTATCTCGGTAAATATGGCTAGATGACCCATATACACAATATGCTCTCACTGCCTATTTTGAGTTAAGGCAGCAGACAGCACGAATCCTGAAACGGCCGCGTTTGCTTTAACCAGTGTTTTGTAAAATCATGCGTCATCGCATTCAACTTTAGTGGATTTTAGCCAAACTTTGTATTATGTCCTAGTTTGTAGCTATCACATGTAGTGTTTTGTCTTTGTGGCAAAGTTTCCACTTTTTGTCTGTTACATGTCAGCCGAAGATTGTATTGATTATAAGCTTGTGGGAAAAAACTGGCTGCAATACACCGATGACCACTTTGCACTTTTTCTGCAGTGCGCTAGGACGTTCAATGAGAAACTGATAATAATGCTCTCCATGCTTTTCTTGGAATGATTATATGATAGTTTAATTTGTTTGCATAGATTGATAAAATAGACCCCTCACTCGGTTGTCCCTCTTTTAATCAATTCAAGATTTTCAACATAATAAGCCAATAGACAGAGGCAGTACTGACTAACCATTATTTCTATATTTGGTATTGTTTGTTGGAAGCCCACAGCGACTCCGTCATGTCAAATACCAAAAAATTCGGAAATACGTTTGTTGTGAAAATGGCCCCATAACCTCCATGCTTCTTTACAGAAGCTTGCCCCTGCCTTCAATTGGTAATGTGCAGTGCACTGTATTAAAAAAGAGGATCTAGTTTTATAACAGTGCTTGTCTAAATGCATAGGTTTTCGCTTAAAGAATCTAGAACTTGCTAATAGGTGGACGTTTTTTCTCCGCAATATTACCAAGCGAGTCACTGTGAGCAGGAATTGGTGACATCCAAAAACTCAGTGCATCAAGTGCCGAGAAAAAAGACAAATATTCACGGTCATCAAAACAAAAAATTAGCATCCTTCAGAAGTGTTTTCGAGCAGAGCATGTTAGTATGAAGTATATAAATAGACGGCCAGTCAGAGAAAATAGCAGTTAGTTGCACAAATTTGCGTGAAGCATCAAGAAGTAATATCATAAAAATGAAGGACGCTCCGATAAATTTCCGGTTAGATTAGTTTCCGAAAGCGTTAGTAGAACGTTTAGACACACAAAAATGAGCAATTGTGAAATGAACTAATTGCCCTTCAAACGAAAAAAATTTCGTGCAGACTCACTGCTTCATCGTTTTCAAGCAAGTTTTTTCAAAGCGAAACAAGCGAGAGAGAATTTCGCGAAACGAAAAAAAAAAAACAAGACACGATGGTTACTCACACAATGATGTTATTACGTTCAGTTATGCGACAGGTCATCATCATTATGCTTTTACGAACACGTTAGTGTTAAAAAGTTCTTCAAATTGCTGGTCTGCATTGATGACATGAGCGCGAATTCGTGGTTGATAATACTCGATTTGTAATAAAGAGAAAGTCAGAGGCAAACTCGTTCAAGCATGTACCCTGGTGTTGAAATTCAGTTACTAAACTGATGCGAAAGAATATGACGCCTATAGTGTTAGCTTTATATGTCTGTACTTGCACGTTTATGTATAATTATCAGGCCCGCAGGTGCACCCAGAGGAGTCTTGAAAATCATCACTGACTGTGTCATATTGCTAATTGCTCACCACCTGTACAAAAGTGTCTCAATGTAATTGTTTGTTAGAATTCACAATTAGATAATAAACAAATTGTGAATCTTAAAAACAGCAGCAAAAAATGGCTCATAAAAGGAAGTCGTTATGCTTGTATATTTAAAAACACAAAGAAAGATTTGAAATAGCTGATTTTCATCTGTCATTGCGCACTAACTATAAAAGAATGGCATGAGTTCCGTTGTTCCTCACAGAATTTTCCTACATAAATAACCAATTGTGGCGTACAAAATTACTGAAGCAGTAGGTTATATATGACCGCTATTTCTGCGGTCAACTCACGAGCTGCCTTTGCATCAGTGAAGACTCGAGGGCCTGCAGTGTATCAAGTTATGTCATGTGGAATATGTTATGAAAACATTTTATATGGTCGTATTCAGACTTCTGATTGCATCATTGTGTTGTTTTATTTTCTCTAGTAAAGCGTTCTCGGTTTATCTGGCATTATTTTTCAATATGACAACTCATACAGCCCCAGATCATCAGATGACGTAGTACTCAACCAGAATGTGACCACCACACTTCAATCGCATATTGGTTCAGTTACATTTTACCGCTTTCATGCAGTACGTCTTGCACGTGGCATCGGTCAGACCTAATTGGTTGGGTAAAAAATTTTTTTTCTTAGTGAACGAATATTTACCAAATACTGGTGGTGCATCTAAAAATATATATAATGCGTTAACGTGTGCTATATAAAGGGGCAGCAAGAAACTGTAGTGTATTTTTTAGTTATATTAGGAAGTTTGCATTCTTAAGAGTGTTATGTTGAGTCGTGTGGAACGCTCTTGTCTCTACAGCTGTAAGATAAAAGAAAACATTGGAAATAGCAGTGACTTCTACTGTATGGATGATGAGAGTCGGTGCGTTTAATATCTGTGTAGTCATTTTGGTGATATCGCGCGCAAATTTAATTCATACTACGTGGGAGCTGGAGCCACATAAATTCATTTCTCGCAGTTTAAGCGTTGCCTGAGCTGAAATTGAGCTGCAATTTAATGATATCAAACAAGAAAATAGTGTTTGTTTTTACCTAGTCTCCGATCTTAAGTTTTAAACGTGAGGTCACGAGCGAGTGACGCTTTAACACCTTATTTCCGCCTTTAAAGGTGGTAATGTATTCTTCTTCTGCTCACACTGCGCTATAATCAATTCGGCCGCTTACCTAACAGCACTAGGAGCGGGAGATACCAAGGTATGGAAGCCATAGCCCGTCTGGCTTGAGGCGTCTCTTCGCACTGCAGCGTAGCGTGAGCGCAGGCCCTTATGGGTAACTGAATCACGCACGCGCCACGCAGATCACGACCTTGAGGACCATTATCGTCAATTTTGGAAGTGCATTGTCTGAAGCTCACCTCCAACGAAAACAACTTGTTCTGAAATGTCAGTAATCTGGCGTCAGTACGCCCCGCTCACTCCCGCCAATGTCCTTGCCTGTGACATACAGAGATCCATCACAAAGACGTCTCCGAGCTGTTTTTGTCTGGAAGAGCAGTTTCACTCAATTTTCTTGCTTTCTTTTGTGTTTCGTTGAATAGGTAACCACCCTCCAGATGCTGTGTTAACTCTGTGTGAATGCTCCGCATCGTGGAGTTTATCTTTCTCTTCAGGCGGCATTTGACGAAAGGAAGCCCCGACACCAAGCTGCAGTTGCGTCAGAACGAGCGTATGGCAGATATATAAACACTATAAATTATCAGCACTATACGCAATGTTAAGTCTGGTCTACGCAATCGCGATGTTCCTTGCCTTGTCGGGCAAGTATACGCAAACGAAGCTTGCCAGGTGCAAGCCTGACGTCGCATTTTTTGTAGTCGTTCATCCATTTTTCTGGCTTTGCGCAATGCTTCCTCGCCACTGTTTTTTTTTCATGACTACGCAGAATCAGTGTCTTTCATTTTCCGGTGGGGACCTCTGCTGGCTTGGTAGTGCGTTTTGCAAGACACAGGAGAAACACTAAATATTGCTAGAACCCCACGCCTTGAAGATGAAGAGGCGTTTCGCGACTTTTCCGCTGAGGTAAGGGCTCATGCGCCATGTCATGATGGACGAAGAGGATTGGAATTTTTCCCGTGTTCAGCATGGCAACAGTGTTATCAAGCAGCAACGACGGTCATGCGCTCATATCCAGGCGACAGCAATACATGTCAACGTGAAAGCCCAAGTCACCTCGATAGCATTGCAGGAAGACTCGTCCAGTGGCTCTGCCTTTGTTTTCAATATTTTCTTCTAGGGAGAAGCACCTTGGAGTCGAGCCTTGTCCTTCTGATGTGCGTGGCTTGCACACGCTGGGAGCGCCGACCACGAGCGTGCCGATCGTAGGAGGAACGGTGAAAGTTAAGACTGCCGTATGTGAAACGACTGATCGTCGAGCAGCCCATGACCAATATGGAATTAATAATTATTAGGAAAATGAAACAGGAACATAAATTACGCTTGGCACTGGTACACTTTTGAGAGCCTCAATTGTGCACGCTGGCGTTCATGCACCATAGAAGACACAGAGTCTTTGTTTTTCACAACTAGAAGACCTTTTTGCATAGGAATTTATTTAGCAGTTTAAAAAGTTAGAAAGAAAAGGGGGAACTCTCCATATTCGCCTTAAAGGTCCACTCACCACCCCGCGTTCACAGACGAGGGGGCGGTTTTTTCCTCTCCTTCGCTTCGCACACGTGACGCGTCCTCCTCGCACCTTAGTTCTTAAAAGCACGTGAGCAATATCAGCACTGAGCGCGAGAGCTTATCAGGATTTCGCTCTTCTCGTCCATCTGCTGTTATCGCCACATGAGCAGTTGTAAAAGCACAAAATTAAGTGTGACCGCCTGATCGTGCAGCATATTTTGCGAGACCAGGAAGAGCTTATAAGCGGCTAAATGGCGAAGCAGTGCAGAGGACAAATCAGATCTGATATTTTGCACGAAACAATCGAGAGCATATATACCATACACGTCACGGGAACTTCTACAAACGTCAAAGTGCCCAAAAAGACAGGTGTCATGAAATACTATTGCACTCATTTTTTTTGTATTTTGAGAGCCTGGTGAGTGGCCCTTTAGGAGTTAAACTCGTTAGCGATATCCTGTTCATACTGCGTCCGTAAACCATTCAGTACATACTTTTCATTCAATTCTATGGACGGTGTCCGCTGCATTTTGCCGCTGGTGTCGGCATCGGCATCGTCGCCACCGTCACTCACCGTATGTGAATACGTCTCTCTCTCTCTCTCTCTCTCTCTCTCTCTCTCTCTCTATATATATATATATATATATATATATATATATATATATATATATATATATATATATATATATATATATATATATATATATATATATTGCTACGGGGCGCCACAAATGAACATTCTAGAAAAGAGGACGATGTTTAGCGCGAGCTCGTGCAGACCGGGCTCCATATTGTATGCCTGCCTGTTTACCGAAAGTAAAGGCATTTTTCAGACGCCTTCTCCCCGTAACATTTTGGTGGAGAGTGCGGGTCTTCCCACAGTCAACACCACGACGATTCTACGCAGCGGACGTTCCTTGGCTGCCTGTGCGATGCCTGATCAAGACGAACACGAGGATTCTTCGGAGACTACCCCAAGCGTGCTTCGTCCAACTACGCAGCCACCAACAGCACCGCATCCAGCTGCTACTAACCGCACCATCGTCCTGACTCAACCGCGTGACCCAGGCACATTTTCGGGCAGTGACAGTACTGACGTGGAGGAATGGCTTCAGCTGTACGAAAGGGTGAGCGCTCTTTACAACTGGGATCCGACGCTCATGTTGGCCAATATTATTTTGTACCTTGATGGTACAGCTAAACTTTGGTTTTCCAACCACGAGGAAGATATCACGAGTTGGGACATCTGTAAGCAAAAACTCATCGATCTCTTCGGCAAGCCCATCGGGCGTCGTCGTGCTGCGCAGAAAGAACTAGCGTCCCGACTCCAGTCCGGCACCGAGTCGTATGTCACATACATACAGCATGTGCTCGCCCTCTGCCGGAAGGTTGATGACAAGATGCCGGAATCTGAAAAGGTCGCGCACATCCTCAAAGGAATCGCCGATGATGCTTCCAATCTCCTCGTATATCGAAACTCATCGACCGTAGATGACGTTATTAATGAATGCCGACGCTTCGAAGACGCGAAAAGTCGCCGCATCACTCCGCACTTTTCGCGTCTTCCCAACACGGCTGCAACATCAACCTGCGAGGACGCCCGTTTGGCACCAGCCCATGCTGCTTCCGACAATATCGTGCGCATCGTGCGCCACGAAATCGAAGCAGCATCTCCTCTGTCTGACCAAGTCCAGGCCCCTGACGACTCTCGCGCCACGATTTCCTTAATCAAGAGTGTCGTACGCCAGGAACTAGCCAACGCCGGACTTCAGACGCTATGCCCCGTTAACCGACCTGACTACCGACTGCCCAGTACACCTAATATGTCCCGCGGACCGAACAACCGCCCACGTTACCGGAACCCGGCAGAATGGCGAACTTCCGATGACAGACCGATCTGCTTCAACTGTGGACGAGTGGGCCATATTTCACGTCATTGCCGCACTTCCTGGGGTTGGCAGCCATGGTCGCATTATGCCAACACCCGACGCCCACTTGCTGGCTCTCGGATGCCGATCTACACGGCACAAGGTGATGCTTCGCCATCCAGGCCCGCCCAACCAAGCCGCTCTCCGTCACCCTCTGGACGCATGTCCCGCTCAACTAACCGACGTCGCTCCCCCTCGCCCTCCTACCACCAGTCCTCGGAAAACTGACGGGCGCAGCTCCTAGAGGTGAGCCTGCTTCGACGACCCGACCCAAAATTCCTCTACACACGATACCCGGACACAACAACTTGATTAAAGTAAATGTTGACGGTACTTCTGTGGCAGCACTCATTGACACCGGCGCTCACATCTCAGTCATGAACTCCAGCCTTTGTGCTCGACTCAAGAAAGTGCTCACTCCTGCTCCGATCACTCTTGTCCGAGTAGCTGATGGTGCAACACCAGCGGTCACTGGGATGTGTGCCGCCCGTGTCACTGTTGCTGGACGTCATACCACTGTTCTGTTTTACGTACTGGACCACTGCCCACATGACATCATATTGGGACTCGATTTTCTGTCGGAACATTCCGCCCTAATTGACTGTTCTGCTGGTGTTGTTCAGCTCGTCCTACCACACGCCGTTGACCCTCCTGATCCTGCGCCGCCAAAGCTATGCTCCGCCGACTTTGTTCGCCTATCTTGCCGAGCTGTGACGTATATCGACGTCTCTTCTGATCCACCTGTGGCTGACGGCGATTATGTCATTTCACCTAATCCTACAGTACTCTGTTCGCTCAATGTTGCGTTCCCTCACACCATCATCACAATGAAGAACAACGTGGCATGTCTCCCTATTGTGAATTTTGGACTTTGCTCTGAAGTGCTGCCACGAGGAATATCCCTTGCAACCCTTGCCCCGGCCGGCGACTTCCACATATCGGCCTTAACAGAGGATACACCGTCATCTACAAGTATTCAGTCGCGCAGTACACTAGACTGCATAACTGGAATGATTGCCTCTGATCTCCCGGCCGAGCATGTGTCTGCGCTTCGTGGCCTTCTTGCGTCGTATGAAGACGTCTTTGATCTCTGCGACCGACCCCTAGGTCAAACGACCGTCGTAAAACATCGGATCAACACCGGTGATGCAAATCCAGTACACCGGCGACCCTATCGAGTTTCCTCCACCGAGCGCCACGTGATCCAGCAAGAAGTCGACAAGATGCTTGCCCGAGACATCATTGAACCTTCTTCAAGTCCTTGGGCTTCGCCCGTTGTGCTTGTGAGAAAGAAGGATAACAGCTGGCGCTTCTGTGTCGACTACAGAAATCTTAACAAGGTTACGAAAAAAGACGTATATCCTCTGCCGCGGATAGACGACGCTCTTGACTGCCTTAGTGGCGCAAATTATTTCTCTTCTATCGACCTTCGTTCCGGGTACTGGCAGATATCAGTTGATGACCTGGACCGTGAAAAGACGGCATTTATAACTCCCGACGGGCTCTATCAGTTCAAAGTAATGCCGTTCGGTTTATGCAATGCCCCGGCTACATTCGAACGAATGATGGACGCTCTTCTTCACGGTTTCAAGTGGTCAATCTGCTTATGCTACCTTGATGACGTCATTGTTTTTTCGCCAACTTTCGAAACACACCTCGAGCGTCTCTCAATAATTCTTTCGGTTTTCCGCAAAGCAGGGCTCCAACTAAACTCGTCGAA